ATTTTTGTAAAGTTTGCAGGTTGGCTAATTTAAAAACATGTGGGGCAATCTTCTCCCCCTGTTCTTTTTTTAGCAAAGAGCGTAAAGTTGCATAGTTTTTAGGTTCCATGGTGGATTTTATGTAGATGAGTTTCATATAATAGTTTTATATATAGGGGGTGTATGTTATTTACTTTTACAGGATTTTTGTTTAGACTTTTTAAATTTTGCTGTTAATTCTTCCTCAGGTTCTTGATTTTCTTGGTCTAAATCCCTCTCCGCTTCAGCCGGCAACTTGCTTTCTTTAACTTTTTTGGTCTCCGGCAAAATATTGGATTTATTTTTCTTCCCCTTTTCTTTATCCCACCTTTCTAAATCTTTTTCTGAAATAGGAGTAGTTTTTAATCCATATTTTTTTAAGTTGGTTTTGATATCTTTTATTCTTTGGGATTTTTTCCGCACCACTTTCTCCTCCTTCTTCCTCTCCGCTAAATACTGCAACAATAAATTGCGATTAAACTTCATCCCTTTCAACCATTCTGTTTCATCCTTCTCATAACCACTCTCCTCAATCACCCTCAAAATCTCCCCAGCCTCTTCCGCTTTCAACTTCTCTTCAAATATATATCGTAATCAATTCTCCTGATAATCCTTAGGGATATTCCAGTGGGGATCATAAAAACTGGCTATTTCTTGATTATCTATTGGAATTATTGTGGGCAATAGATTATACCAACTATCATTAGCTTGCACGAATAAAAGGGATTTATCCATAAATGAGATATAAGTTAGGACTTTTCAAGTTTTATTTTTATTGGTAGCAAAAACCGAGTTAGAAGTAGGACTATTAGTGGTTCAAATAAAAGTACCACCAAGTTTTCCTGCCTGGGAGATATAGTCTTGTAAAGCAGAATAGCCTTGTTCTCCAAACTCTTTACCTGCTCACTTCTCAAAAGCCTTTAAATCATCCAAAAAATAATAAAATTTGTGAGGTGCTCCTCACTTTCCACTAATATGCACCTCCAAAGTCTCTTTACTTAAAGTAAAAATAGATTGAGGAGTAGGAGAATTGGTGAATTTTACTCCATTTAGATGTTTAAATAAATGACTTAAAAGTCAAGACTTCCCCTTTCCCACTAGAACCTGTTATTTCTATAAATCTATGCTTAGAAAGTAAAGAAAAGACTTGTTCTTTTTTTCTAAGTCTTAATATTTTTCACAAGAGTCAGGCTCAGAGTTTTCAGAGGGCGACTATTAGTAAAAAAAGGAAAAATACTAAGGCAAATCAGAAATTACGAGTCATAAATTTTTTCAAATGTTTCTTTCAATTCTTCTCAAAAAGTTCTACAAGAAGAACAAACCTTCTTTTTTAAGATTGTATATTGTTGGTCTAAATAAGCAGTTTTTGAGTTACTTGGCTTATAAAAGGGGATTTACAAGCAGAGGATTCTCCTTCCTGAAATATCTGATAAGTAGTAAGCAAATATTCTTTTTTTAGTTGGCAACAGAGGTGATTCATTTTTTTTTTTTTTTGATATTTAGCACGCATGCTAATAACTTTCTTAAATTTCATTATAAACAAAATCATCCTTCGTGAGCAAAACTTTGCTTTTTCATTTTTCCTCTCCATGTTCTATTGTGACAGATAAATATCGTTGGTCTTTACTAACCTCTTGAGTATTGATAATTAAATCGGCCAATTCTTGGACTTCTACTCGTAAATCTTTTACCTTCCTCACAGTTAAGAAAATTTTTCGTTGGCTACAGCAGGCCAGAGCCAAAAGAGCGTCTCACCGTCATAATTGTCCTCGATAATTAATTTGGGAACTAGAGTTTAGATAAAAGGCGGGATCATCAATAAAGATATTTGTTTGCCATAAATCTCCCCGATAAATGCTTGGTCTAAACTCAGGAATATTAGCCAATTTGGTTAGTAATAAACTTTTACCGGTGCCAATTGGTCCACGAATTATGATTACATTGGTTTTTCTTATTAAGTTGATTAATTTTGTTTTCATACTTATTTTAAATCCACCAACCAATTATACAACCACTGATAATCCCCAGGCCACAAACCTGACAATCTCTCTCTAAAATTCCCACT